AGTTAGTCTCATCAGACACTTCAGAAAAGAAAATTTGACGATTGGCGCTGCGGTGGAAAAATTTTGGCGACCATAGGACTGCCTATTAGCTGATTCATCGCCGAACAGTTCTCAGCAAACTAATGAGTAGTGCGTTACGTCTATGAGATGTACTGCGATATCTCGAATATCGTACCAACTGGAACATGAGACGATCTTTGTGGTTCACATTCAGCTGAAAAAGAAAACCATAAAGGAGAGGTCCGGCTTGCTCCTTGGTGAGTCCGCTGTGAAAACCAAGTGATTATGAGGACGGATTTATTGTTATAGTTTGTACCATTTTGCTTTAGGTAATCCAGATTAAAAACACATTTGGATGCAAATGAAATGACTCGAAAAGTAGGCAGCGCAAAACTGCTGGTCGAAGGGAATTTCCCGTGACACCAAAAACGTTTCAATGACAGGTGACTGGAAGATCGGAATTATCGGGAGGCGATGGGGAAGGGGTTTGGCGAGAAGAAGCACGTGTTCACTCCTCAGTCAATCCTCCATGTTAACAGCGAAACAAGCGCAATTTGAACCAAATTGCGAACGGAAAAATCGAGAGGTGAAGAACAACCAATCGATTGACTGCTTCTGTTTGACTGCAAAATAAAAAGATGGTTCGGTCGGTTCTATCGTCACGGGAACTTCCAATCGAAAAGACTAATTTAACTGGTTGCCGTGGACTTCGCCCACCACCCGATGGTTACTGAGTACATAAGCCAAGACTGTAAATTTCACATAAGCCAGTACAGCAATACGTTGTACACAATTAACACCCTCCCCACGAGTTTTTTTAAGATTCAATAAATTTATACTTGTTTTTTACCTAAGCTGTGCGGGACGAGTGTTTAGAATTCATAGACAGCCCAACGCCAGTTTTGTCATGATTAGGACTTACCAGCGAATTGTAGACCTGAGAATCTGAAAGGAGCCTTTCTTAACTCGTACTATAACCTAGCAAATTTTATTCAGGTCAGGATTTGACTGACTCAGGTTCCCACGAGTACATGAACCTGATGAGCCGAAAACATGAGAAAACAGTAGAATGCGGGAGGATGAATCGTTTCTGTTAAACTGAGTTTGATTGAAAAGCATGATTCGTCTATCACATAGTTCGCCGATACCTGCAAAGGCAGACAAATTCGAAAAAGAAGTCACATTTGGAGAAGTCCCCACGAAATACAACTAAGAGTTCATCTACTTCTCGCTCTTTACGCAACATCAACGGCAAATTTTTATAACAGATTGAGGGCTTGTATACAGCTTCGAAAAAAAGAAATATTTCTCGGTATTTTACTAATTCATGGAGAGTGGTTTGACGTTTCTTTCCCTGCTCGGTGCAGTGATCCTTCCAATATGGCGATTACTTCGCTACTCCTTATGCCAGTATACAAAAAATCCCAGATGTAACTAACTTCCCTCATTCAACTTGGCTAACTTAGGACCCAAATAGACCACTTCTGTTTACCTGAGTGTTACGAAAAGCTACCTCAGAACCCGTATTTACGATAGATCCACCAATACTCATTGGGTTGATGGAAACTGTCAGAAAGTCGGCCACCTGCCTAATTTTGGCGGAATGTATCAGGTAGACCTTGTTCCCGGATTCCTATCAAATTAAGAACCTGTTCAGCTAGGTGAGCATATAACCATGCATTAAAATTTAACTTGGTTCTCGGGAAACAGCCAAATCTTTCACTTATGGTATGCCCCATGGCCTACACATCCGTCGTTAGTGGGGCTTACGGTTTTGCTAATAAGACAGTCTGGTTAATGCGGGTGGAATGTGGCGAATCACATAATCGACGGTCAGAGAGAGTGCGTGCTTTACAATCCTGCCACAAAACAACTTTTCCAAGTCGCTCGGGAAGTATTCTATCTATAAGGATTTCTCTCCTTTTTGTCTAGAGGTATGCTCGTCCGAATGAACTTTTTGCGCAGCTTCCCTAGTGTGTGATTGCGTATGCTAGTCCACAAACCGGGTCAGGGTGCGTTCTGCCTTGTGTTTGTAAATTGCAGGACTTCTTATTGAGCAGAACCTCTTACTCAGCAGCATCGTAAAGATGTGAGTAAATTTCCTCTGAAAGCGAATTTTTCTTTCTTGAAGACTTTGTCGGTTAACTCAATGTGTCCACTTCTGTTAGGGTCATCCCGAGCATTCACGACACTGCCGCCCAGAGTACTTTATTTCGTTCTGTTGGACATATCGCCTGTTTCGCTATCCAAAGTAGACAGACGTTGGATTTCCATAAAATCCATAGACTGATAAACCGTCTCGAAGTACGAAACCGTATCATACAGAAGACAACAAATTCAGCATCTGAGATTGCAAGTGTTAATCACTCTTTCACTGAGATGGTGTGGTTTTTTTCATTCCACGCTTCAACTCGTGATGAACTCCGATATGGGAAAACCGATATTACTCAATGCAACCTTTCGAAAGTCCTATCCGAACAACCAACTCACCAGTTCTATACAGGAAGAAACATATCTCTGTGGCGGTGGAATGGCCCACTTAGGTCAGTTTCAACTCTGCTTAAAAAGGAGGGCGCACAGAATCCTCAAGCTCAGCCGCCGGGTTATAAAACAACACTGACCCGACTGCTCGACAATGGCAATAAGGGAAGGGTAACTGATGTGTATGTGTTGCTCCATCACACTTTTTAAGTGAAAAATCCATGTACACGAAGCATGAACGAAAGGCACCCGTGGAAGCGGACACGAATCACCTGTTTATCGGACAAACGATATACTGCCGAACGCCCGCTGCAACTGAGCATTGGCTGACGACACTGATTGTTCTCCTGTCTAGATTTCGACGCGCTAATGCTATCCCAACCAACAGACAACACTGAAAGTCACAACACCACATAGACGCCACTTGGTGTCATTAGTCGGGTCGCCTTACTGCATATATCAAAGCGCTCAAGAGAAAACAAGTTACTGCCAACGCCTCCCTTATATAATTCACCGGATTCCCCCTTCAACCCTGCCCAACCCCTATTCCCTCTCACTCTCCAAAAATGTGGAATGAATATGGAACTCGCATCAACCTCAGTGTATATCTCTACTCAAGCGTCACCGTGCCCCCGGCTCTGACTACCTTCCACCTGCTCTGTTTAAAAATGGCGTCGAATTCTTCAATAAGGGTCTGTCTAGACTATATGCGTCTATCCGGGAGAAAGAAACTATCTCATACAACTGAATGGGTGAGTCGAAAATCATGCCCATTTTCAAAAAGGGTGTCCGCGGCGAATGTAGTAACCACAGTGGAGTCAGTTTGACTGCCGTTGTAACAAGGCCTCACCATCAATGACCCTTCGTCGTCTTACGGCGACGCAAGCCCTTGACCCGAGAATCAAGCGAGATTTCGAGCGGGTAGACGCTGCGTCGACTTCTTCACGGTTCGTCAGATGTTAGACCGTATGGACCCACAATCTTGGTGTTCCTTGACTTCAAGGGTTCGTTTTAGACTGTCAACCAGTGCTGTTTAACACACTTGCACAACAGGGTACGCCCATGAGGTCTGTTGGCACAATCCCTATATTCACATACTTCAGAGTGTGTGGGCAAATGGATAACTCTCCCGAAGGTCCGCTACCGAGATTGGGGTCGGACGACTATGTCCACTCTCTCCGTCCTTGTTCATCATCAATGCAATAACGAGGAAAACGCTGGAAGGTCTTTAAAAACCCGGTGTTCAAATCGCTGCTGGCGAGAAACCGGTCCATTTGAAGTAAGCAGACGATGCCGTCACCATCTTTAAAGACGGAGGCGAAGCACAAGCCCTGCTGAGTAGACGGACCACCATCATATAGCCCTTTTTACACGCGACTTGCACCTTAAAAGTGCAGTCATGCATCAGAACATTTCCCTAAAGTTCAGAGAATCACTGGAGGTTATGGAGAATTTTACGTACCTCGGTAGTTGTACTAGCTGTGATGGAAGTTTCTGATGAAGTCAGTGCACGAATTTCGAAGACAAGAACCACATTCCCTGATTTGCGTAACTTTCGGCTTCAGAAAGGTATATCGCTTGCTCTCAAAAGTCGCGTTCATCAAACAACAGTGAAGGCTGTATTGTTGCATGCTTACGAGACAAGACCTCTGTGGACAACTGATATGAGGAGTCTTCGGGTTCCTGACCACCGATGTCTCAAAGCGTCGGGTGATACCAACGAATTCGTAACGAGGTGATGAGAAAACGGGTATTAGGATGGACAGCAGGTACCTCAGTCATGGAAAACATCCGGCACCATCAACCACCTTGGCTCGGCACTGTGCTATGCGTGCCAGAGCAACGCCCACCGACACGAGTTCCACTCCGTCTTTTTCGGAATGGCACAACTAGCGAGGTGGACTATATATGATTTGAGAGGATGAAAGTTACGAGAAGTTTGTTTTTGATGGGATCCGGCTTGCAGGATGGGGTCTCAATGACCCTGCTTGCCTGGCTGCGCCCAAGAAGTGGCGGCTAATCGATGTCAGTGGCATGCATGCTGTCAGTTTCTTTCTATATTGTCTGACTGACCACTTGGAGGGGTGGGTGCCCCATGATACTTGTGATAGGCCAAAACTAGGTTCCCTATCTCACCCTCTCTACTTTCTCGTCTTTAAACTCTTTGGATCCAAATATAATTAGATGAACTTTGTGGTCATATGGCGGTGAAGCATCACTATCGACAATGGTGTTATTGTTACTCGTGATGATAACGGAGTTTTAGAGAACCCGAACCGTATTTGAACAGTAAACTCGATTTAAAATTTACGAAGAGTATGCCTCCTCTTAACGGACGGTCGCTAAATTGTCTTTAGGGCTGAAATCCTCGATTCCAGGGCACGAAATTTGCTTGAGAGAAACTGTCCAGCTTCGAAATCAATAATTTGACGAACAACACAGCAGCAATACTATCGACAATGTAGATGACGACTATCGAAAATATCAGTGAGCGGAGCCAGGAAACACATTAGTCAAAACTACATGAAGGTACTTGTATAAAAGCCGTCCATTTTGCAGTAGGCTTGGGTTCACGAACACGGTAAGATGAAGGAAAGGAACTGGTGCCTGGTGGAATTCACGAGGAAACATTTTCTACGATTCGCAAGACACATACATCTGTGTGATGTGAAATAAGACGGGTCAAGAAGTGTGTTAACAACAGGTAAAAATACGTTCAAACGTGGGAACAGAGACCAAACATTTCGGCGGCGGGCGAATTGAAACTGGAACAATGGAAAAAATAAGGCGAGGGGGTAATTTTGGTGTGGATATCACATACTGGAGATGCCATGGGACACTGTAGATAATGACCGTTCAGCTTGCGGCTTCCGTCAGCGGCTTACAGCTTGAGAAGCACTGTTCAGAAGTGATCGGAACACGTCCGAAACCCGTGAGGGTATATCGAACCGGAAGGATGCATTCAAATCGGCTGAAATATTCCGAAGATACAGAGTGCAAACGATGGAGTAAGAAAGCATGAAATTGACGTCAATGTTAGCATACACACACACAACCAATGGGGAAAAACGAAGAGAAAAGCCACCCACCAACAACTTACATTTAAAAGAACTTACTACTGAGCTTCGACAAGCCCTGGACGCCCTGAGACATCAGGCGTCGCCCACGATCCGCAGCTAACTCACGAAACCTGAAAGAACGGAGACAACGCAGTCCTGATATAAACAGATGTAATATACTACTCATAAGGTTACTGAAAACCTTCTTCGACAGCCCTAGACCAGCTTTGCCCTTCTTGGAAATTCATCAGTAAGCATGCTTACCGATTCCCCGTCAACCTCATGTTCTAGTCAAATTTAAATTGCACGAAATTCGACTTATACACTCCTTTGCATACCAATTTGGTTTAGACTGGAACCCGGAACCGAGCTGAATCTCTTACTTACGATCCTAGGCGGCTGGAATTGCTGCACGAGGCCGCCTTGTGCTTCAGTCGATACGATATGCCAATATCACAGCACACTGCACAGACGCGATCCTAGGCGGCTGGATTTGCTGCACGAGGCCGCCTTGTGCCAATATCACAGCACACTGCACAGACGTAATACACTACCGATAAAAGTGCGAGCTGTCGAATACTCTTCAGCAAACTCATGTGTAGTATATACAATGTAATAGTAGTTTATACTATGTATTGGGATATTTCGAACATCGTGCTAACAGAAACATGAGATATTCTGGTGCAGCGTATTCAGTTGATTGGGAACATGATAAACGAGAGATTCAAATGGATTTCAGCTGGGGCTCCCGTGAAAACCAAATCGATATGCAGACGAGTGTATTAGCCATACTGATGTATGTTGTCTTCCAAGTACAAATGAGCTTCACAGATGGACAACGCTTACATGAAGTCAGTGGTCCTCAAGAACCATTCACCTAATCAAAAATACGCACATCGGTTGTTTTACAAGTTATCAGAACAAGAATATTAACGAAATGACCACGAATAAATGCCTCGAAAGAAAGTAGTCTTCCAGGAAAACCCGTAACAATTTCCCTTTTCTTCTCCCGAAGAGGAAACAACTCCGTTATTTCCGTTATCGTTTCTGTTAAGGAATTACCCTATGCCTTTTTACGTCGATATGATGGTCGGATAGAAACTATAAGCATATCTGATATGAAACGATGTAGGAGCCCCAGTGAGCGACCGAAGATACGGAGGATGTCAACAGATCGTCAATCTTGGATTACAAGATCTTGGGATGCTTATCAACAGGTTACAAAACAAAGGAAGTAAGCGCAAATGAACACCACGAAATGTTATGTTTCAGTAAAACTAAGGTTGATCGTTGCGTTCTGGAACTGGAAAAGATGTAACCGATGGAAACTGGTATCGCGCGGTAGAGAAAGCTTGTCTTCGGAAGAAACGCACTTTTTAAACCCGCCAACTAGTTGGTCCCAATCGTCTGGTTCCGCATGTCTTCGACCTGGATGGACAGCCAACACTTCGGCGGCGGAGGAAAATGGTGATGGCGGCTTGGGGAAGAGAGAAAAAGGACATAAAAACCAGCACAACATGAGAACTCGGAGGATAAGAGACAGCAACCAGAAAAAGTGGCGAAAAGGAGTGGAAGACCAACGAAGACCTACCACTGAACACCGGAGAAAGGGATAGGAACTGTACAGTTGAAGGACAAAAACGCGCTACGCTTCAGCCGTAGTCAGCCGTATAGTCTCGAATCTTCCGGATAAAATCACCCTGGAATACCGAGCGGTGCGTATTTCTCCGATTTTCTAGGCACAAAGCAATATCTATAGCAGGATAAATCAGAAAGTCCTCCAGAACTTAACTGTCATGCAGTTGATTGAAACCTGGAACCTGTGACTCTGACAAGTGCAGCGGACCCCATCCTGGAAGCCGGATTGCACCAAAAACACCTAAACGTCTCGTAATCTCATTCACACCCTTCTGCTAGGTGATACGTTGTCCATCTCGCGGTTTGCCCCGTTCTGAAGGAGACCCGGAAAACAACAATCATTTCGGTAGACGGTGTTTCGATATGCGTACCACATGACTGAGCCACCGAAGTTGCTGCTGCCGGATATTTTCGGCGATTTAACTACCCGCTGCACAACCAAATACCCGAATTTTAGTTTACTTAGTTGCGAATCAATTGACACCATCCAACAGTAGCAACGGTTCTGAGGGTTCCGGTGGACGTCCCGGAGTTTCCATTTAATCTACTTCTCACTTGAACACTAAATTGTCAGTCGCGAAAAATCGTTCAGCTACAACACTCTTTAAATGTCTTACTGCCATGCAACCCGAAGGAAGCACGAGGGTTAGGATACTGCCAGGTTTCCCAAGCCCAGGCAGGAGAAGTCGAGATGCATAGACCGGGTTCAACCGACGGAAGTTTCGTTCAGTAAATTTGCGTTCCAAACAATAAGTTATCAGTCGCAATCGAGTGTACAAATCCAATCGCATACAAAGTGAATTTAACATGAGAGGATAGGCGCAAACTCTGGGACTAGGCCTTAAGGACGAGTCCCGAGGAGAGAGAAACCGGTAATGGGTTATCGAATAGTTTACAGAAACCATATAAGTACTATTGTGTTACGATGGACGCACCCTGGTATCACATAAAGGGAGAATAACATGAATGCTTCAGATATTGTCTCCAACGAGGGACAATACTTAATTCAGTTAAATTGTCTTCAGCGGTCCAGACAAAACGTTCGCACAGCAAGGTCGTTGCGGATGACAGGTAATGGGAGAATGGTAGAATCTTCAGCCGTATTCATGTGGAATTTTCAGCAAAGCCACAGTAGGCGATCAGCTATAGAGCGGGAAGCGATAAATTGTACGGTTCAGCCCTGACTAAATGACATTTTACCCAATCAGAGCGCACCTTAGAATCACTTAACAGGTATTGAGTTATTCTACACAGACAGTCTCCGGTCATCACACAGACACCGAATAAGATAATTTAAATGCGATCACCTCCGAGTTCATAAAGAAAGCCCACCGAAATTGTCCACAGGGAAGGATAATTTTGACGGGATGAGAGATCGGACAACAAGGCCAAGTCAATTGATGCGGCGGAGCCAAGAGGCACTGTTTCATTCTTATCAGAGAGGGAGATCTAAATGCAAAACATTCTGAAAAGAAGCGAACTATGCACACACGCATACCGATTTGGTTTTTACGGAAGACCCAACTGACCTCTCGGTTATGATGTTCTCCTTGAACTGGATGTGCTTCACCAGGCAAAGGGTACGATACAGCAGTGTCGCAACACATTCCATAGACGTAACCTACACCAGGATTTTGAAAACCCCTGGAAGTCGAAGAACACCAAAAACCAAAGATTCAGATGGTATTCAGTTGGTTCTCCCTTAAAAACCGGATTGGCATCCAAATTAGTGTATTTTTCGAATTTCGTAAAATTTGAGTGCCAACATAAAGTGGAGGGGAACTCAAGAGTGTGACTGCCTGATCAGCTCAAGAAAAGCAAGTTAGTCGTGGACTGTCGAAGCGTGCTCAGCACCCCTATGAGTTGCGTGTTACGCTTCCCGATGTAGTACTCGGAGCACTCGGCTATTCATTTGAGAGTGGTCAATTTTGAGTGCGGTAAACCCACAAATAGATAGGACCAACCATTACTCAATGTTCGATATTGAGATTTCGCACCATATCTCCTACGACTGACTGGCTCCTCGGGTAACCAATCGGAAATCCCGCAAAGTAATGGATAAACTTCATTTGAATCATTACACTCATGAGATAATCCAGGACCGACTGATATTCTCGTGCACTGAAAACATGTGCGGCTAAGTAAGATCACGGACGAGTATTTCACATACGTGGAGAAGAGACTCACCTCTAATCCGACTAAGGGAAGTAGTCTAACTGTAGAAGAATCAGTGAGGGTTTCATTATCTTCAGTTTTCTGTATCGCTGCATCATCTGACGTTGTTTCCAGGATTGGGGCTATCGGTTGGGGTTTGGAGACTCTGAACAGTTTTTCCGGCATGAATTGTCGACGCCATACGAGAAAGGATCGGGTCGATCGGAGGCAGTTCACGTAGTGTGTACCATAATCACTGCTGTTTGAACCTGTTGAACAAATGCAAGAGGAAGAAGTGAAGTAAAACAAAGTAAAAAAAACGCTAACTTAACGAGTTCACGTAGTGTGTACCATAATCACTGCTGTTTGAACCTGTTGAACAAATGCAAGAGGAAGAAGTGAAGTAAAACAAAGTAAAAAAACGCATAACTTAACGTAAACTAACAAGCAGAGACGCTTCATTCTGCTCAATTGTATGAACTCAAACTATGGAACACCGCACAGTGTACGTAGGTGCATACCTGTCTCACCAGTTTTTGTGCCCCACCACATTAGTATGTTTCTCTGCGAGTTAGGAAGCCACAATCACCTGTGATTTCTTATCCCATCGTTCGCATTCCTGTTCTAAAACTCGCAACTCGGACCCTTGTACCTGAGGTTTCAAGTCATTCGAGGTTAATCCAACGCACCCAGATACAACAAATATTTTCGCTATTTTTCATGATCACCAAACGGTGATCATGCATTCTCTCAGTCGATTGTCATACACTTCAGCTTGACCTGATTGCAGAAGCCTACATTCTCGGTGACTCCAACAACTACACACCGAGTTCTTGATGGAGAGATCTCAATCCAATCTCGTATCCATTGGAATATGTTGTAGCGTCCTCTGTCTCCCTCGAATACTCATCCAACTGCCTTATTAGTTTTCCTCATTGGCATTAATTTCAAAACAAACTCCCTTCGCGACATAACTCTGCCGAAGATCCTCCGTTGACTGGGATAATGTGTCCATTTTTAAGCGATTATACCTGTGTATATTCCTGGTTTGAACTACCCTCATCACGTCATGGTGCACCTATTCTTGTGAGTCCACAACGATGACATGAGGCACTATACTCGAAGTTTGCCTTCACTAGGGGTGCATATCCCTGGAAGTGTCTTGTTTTATCTTACGGAAAACTGTCCTCTCACTTTTTCAAACCAGTAGTGGAGCAATCATCCCCCAAAAAGTTTGATCTTGCGTAATTTCGAGCAGCGAGAGAGAGATGAGTTCACCGAACGTGTTGAAGCAACGGACTCACCATATCCCTCTGCATTCAGCAGTAAAGACCGCAAGTAGGACTGAAATTGCTGTCTGACATACAAGTCCAGGATTGCAGACGCTGGAAAAAGATGAATACACGTCAAATTCAATAGCTGTTTGGTTGCACCAATTTTACTTATAACTACTGACCCAGTAATAAGTAGTTAATGGCCATGCATATGAAAGACCGTCGGCATGCAACAGAACAAGCAACAGAATGTCGGCACCTGGAAAATTCTGAATAGTATGCAGATAATATAAGAACCTACCGCACAAAACGACTACAAAAGGCTAGTAATACCTCCCAATTCCACAGTTTTCCAGTGAGAGGGTGCGATAGCCCTCATGGAGATATCAAGCGCAGTCTACTTTCTAGCCAACAACATATACGAGATAATCTTCGACCTGTTCACTGCTCTCTTCGGGGACGACCATCTATTCTAAGGCTTTGGAATCACTTGAAAATTCAAAATAGAGCGATTTTATTCAGCTGAAAGGGGCGAGATAGCTAAGTGGTTAGAGCACGAATTTACTGACCGGAAGGTTCGTAGTACTGGTCCGAACTCTGCATCTCGACTTCTCCAGGCTTGGGCAACCTGGAGGCATCCCAGCCATCGTGGTTCCTTTGGGTGGCATAGCAGCTAGGCCCCGAAAGGGTGTTATAGCTGAATGATTTTTTTCTTAAGGAAAAACATTGCGCCCCGGGCAGATAATCGTGCCCCATCAATTTAGACTATCGTTAATTTCAGGATGTCGCCTAAATCCATGATGACTTCTAAATATTTTTTCATAAGAACGTGATGACGAACACTAATGTTTTCCAGGTCTCATTGCCAGGTGAACTACAAGGCATTCAAACTGGACGGATTAAACTGGCACGAAACTTCATCAAGTGAGAAAATCTTACGGTGAAGTGAGAATTAAAACATTGTAAGTTAAAGGCGACTTGGTGAATCTTTCGGAGAACAGACCACCGATGCTCTCCCTCCCCCCTACAAAAAGTTTAAAGTCAAAGCATAGATTAGTCGGATTATAGCTTATTCCAATACGCTGTGTCTTGGCCTTACACTTTCTATATTATACAATACATGGCACTCAGCTTGTTTGATAAGATCCGAGCCGAGTTTACCCCTTAGCTCGTAACTGAAAGACAGAGAAGTCTCATCGCTATCATTAGTACGTACAGCAGTACACTGACAGCAGTTACTGCCACATATGATAGTGATAAAAACGGAGTTGGAGAGAATATAAGGCACAGGCATTCTGTTTGTTGCGTGACTACAGTACAACAGGCTGCGGTGTTTTGGTCACGTGCTCCACGTGCCGAGTTATTACCCGCCGAGGAGAGATAGGTTCTTCAAGCCACATTCAGATTAGCGCAACCCACAATGTGAGTAACGTATGCCAAGAACGTGGAAACTCTATCCCAAAACCATCGGTTTTCCCCGCCCCGGGGCATACACTATCCGGTGAGGAGGTAGACTCGCGACTATTTTGTCATTTATGTGTCTATAGAAACTTACAGGGAAAACGGAGAAGAACGGTTCTCTGTTCAGGAAGCAGGCGATCCAATGTCCGATCTAGCGTCTTCTCATCGCCTTGGAGCAACACAGTAAGGTCATCAGACGGAGCCAGTTGACACAGTTGCTGTACAGCTGACCGGCCTTGATACCATAAAACCACCGTTTTGTTGAGTTCATCGATGAAGGCACGATCCACCCGTGTGAGCTGCAGCGCCTGTGCGAGTGAGACCGGGAAAGTACGGGGATTGAGGCCAGTTGTTGAACTCGATGGCAGGAAGTGGATCACTGGGTCAGATTTTTTCGGCTGATTAGGACGAGAGGGGAATAAGCAGAGTGAAAAAAAATTATGGTCTTGGAAGAACAAAGATTTGATAGGATGGGAAAAACGCGTTGTGGCGAGAATACACCAGGAAACTGGAGATGAAATCTTCACGGAGAAACGAACGTACCGAGCAAGCATGCATTGTTCGCCAACCATTCTCGTACGGTGACAGTGAATAACGTTCCCACTGTAACCTGAGCTACTAAGCGACTGTGTACATTACGTGAGGAAGCCATTATAGACTTACTCTTGTTACTCTGTGATGCCACGTAACGTGTGGTGAGTACTATAGCTGATCGAACATATGCTTCAATCGGCCGTTCCAATTGAGGTTACTGTGCGTCTTTCCACTTCGTATGAGGGAGCCGAGTGAATGTGGTGTGAAGTGAACCAGAGTTACTAGCAATGTCTGTTATATTTCTCGATCCTAGATATATAGAAAACGCAGTTAGCTCCATTCTGAACTCAGGCGATGGGCCTGTGTGGCAGACAGACGGTGGCATAAAAAGCCACAGTATATATGATGTGGTAAAATTTAGTGACGGCTTATCCGAGTTGTGGGTCCACAGACTAATGTTAGACACATTCGAGAAGTGGCGTAGGTTACAGTAACAGAGCATTCACGAAAGGTAAACTGAAGACCGCTAGAGTACCTAAAAAGAATGATTCTCGACAATCACATTTACAGCACTCTCATTTGCACAAACCTTTTTCTGTCACGGCTCAACCATTCCGGTGAGTCCACACACAAAAGGTAGAATCAATAGACTCGAGTTTCGCCCATTCGGGAGCCTATCGGTAGTGCATATCTTTGAATGTGTCGGGGCTTTGCTGCAGACACCTGATATGCGAGGCAGATGTGTTGCCAATACCCTACTATCGCACACTGGAAGCACCCAAATTATCACGTTTGCTCACGCTTAAGCGATTTTGTTGACGCTATGAAAGACGACCCAGTGACTGGTCTGCCAAATGTGCTCTTATAAGGACTGTTCAAACGAGAGTGGTGTGAATTCTGCAGATGCCGGAACCAGCCAAAAATTTCGATATGACAAATACTTGGTTAGAACATGCGAGGCTAAAGAGACGAGGTGGCCAGGGTGTCTCGCTTCGATGCGACCTCAGTACAGTTGAGCAAAGTAGGAACGGCGTGTTGTCTCGTATGTCTTCCAACGGACCTTAACTAAAACATACGGGTCGTCCGATTTGGCGAGATCGTATAAGGCCTTCAGCGAAGGGATGAGCAACCAACCTATATATGCGTATCAACAGATGACGGAAAATGTGAACATTATCAGTAGCGATGCAGGATAGACGGGGATTGGAAAAATCTCGTATATGGATCCAAGCACACAATGCAAGCTACAGGAAATGAATCGAACTCGCGACCTCTCGCTTACCAGGCGAGTGCTCCCTCAACTCAGCTATCGTGGACGCTGCCCCAAGTCATCACACATGTACACCTGATCTCATATTCCTTCGCTGCACCTCGGTCTAATGGACCAACAGTTGACGTCTGTGCCATTAGTGGGCCCTTCGTGTGACTTCTACAATGGGCCAAACACTAACATCGACACGACACCCGAATTATATTGGCTTTGAGTCGAAACGAGAGGCGCCGGTTCGATGCCCATCCAAGGTTTCTGTTTTTCCTCCGCACTGAGCCTGGGGTTTCCAAATTAGGTAAAGTGGTAGTGGTTGAATGAATGATGAAATTAGCTGTGAAGTGTCCGATATGAAACACAAAGTGTGCGGTATGTTACCTGTAGACTCCTACGCTCCTTCGAGTTGCTAAACCCGCCTGTGAAGCGCGGAACAAACCATCCGATCTTATAATACATCCGACAAGCAAAAAAACGAGCGACGAACAAACTAAACGCGGTACTCACAGTGGTAGCACACAGTGCTTGAAAGCACCGTTGCACGGACAACAACCACAGACTCACTAAGTCCTCTGAACTCGGATAGCGCGTCTAACATCGGTTCCTACGTGATGTGTAACACCTTCGTTTTCAGCTCCTTGTTTGTGAGATCAGAGAAATCATCGAGTTTACGTACCACATTGCAAGGACAAAGGGTGACATTTTTAGCCGAAATTCCTTTCTCAGCTTACCTGTTTTGCTAGAGGGCGATGGACTTCCTGACAGATTAATTTGGTGACCACATGACAAATGAACCATCTAGCTCCAAACCCATGCTATAACGTACCGCGTTAGAAGATCTGCTTGGGTTTGAAGACTGTCGTGTGGCGCTACCAGATAGTGATGGTAATAAACCCTCAGGAGGGACGTTCGCTTGAGCCGTTTGAATCTTCTTGGGTAGCGTACTTCCATCGAACAAACTTGTAAGTGATCCGTGAGAATGACACCCGTCCGAATCGGTGAGGCCATCTACGGGTGATAGGCTGGTCACAATAACTTCAGCCAAGTGCTTGTGAGTGCGCAATAACGGGTTCGTCGCACCAGCCAAAAAGGCTCGAACACAACGGTCGCTAACGGACGCTGGACGATCGAGGGAGTCCGTCGGTGGAAATAGATTCGGTCCACTAGTCGACTCAAGCAGGAGATCGAGAGAGATGAGGGGGAGGAACATGGGGAGCACGTATGACTGTACAGAGAGAAGAATAAGAGGGTAGTCATTCGAAGGTTCATTAACGAAGCTTGGGTAAAATTCACACCCACACTGAAGTTACATGGGCGTGGAGACACTACTGTATAACAATGAAACAGTCCGTCACTTTAACACTTCCAATTGGCAGTCTACAGTTTTGCACAAAGTTGATAACAGACCACAGAAAGAACAAAAAGCTTGGCAAACCAAGGAGCAAAAATGACCGTCCTCAATACTCCGGCTACTGGTTATAAATCAGAGTCTGGGGTAGTATCCAAGGCGCTAAAATCGTCCGACGACGTTCTACCCATGTCATTTGCTATCCCCCGTCGATTCACCTAACCAACCGACACGTTCGGAATAGGACAGGACACGCTGTGCACTCAACGAGCATGCACAGGATAAGCCCGGGTCACCTCACCTGGTGCAAATAAGTAACATGGCTTATGTTTGGACTATGAACGCTCAACATGCGAAGTTCATTCTAGGCCATTCAACCGTATTTCCAAAACAAGTCAAGACAGTTCGTATTTCCTGGGCAGTTGAAACGGCTTCATCAACAAACCAATAGCCGAGAATTTCCGGATTAAGTGGCGGCTTCCATTCCAAAATCACAGTCTCGTGTTGATCCGGCATTTAGAAAAGAGATGTGCCACCTGATGTACACAGCAGCACACGTGCAGCACCTCGTATGTGCGTCAAATTTTGATTTGCTGGGTAGTGATGCATGGCGACTAATTTCGTTTACAAGTTGGTCTGGCGATAGCAGCTCAATTCGATCAACATGCTACCCCACATGTCGCGCTAACTTGGTCGCGTGATCCGTAAGCAAGTTGACTGACTTCCTCGAATAGCCTTTTCACACAACCACATGTTCATGCATCCAAGCTGTTGTCTTCATCGCATAGCTACCCTCCTGATCTCCCTAAGTCCATAGACTGCAAATGTGCAGCTATCTACCCTACCTCCACAGGTCATCGGCGAACGAAAATCTGACAGAGAGAACCACTGTGGGACAAGTATACGATTTTCATAGCTGATGATTATGATGAGCCAGCATTCAACCACACCATAAAGGGGTTCTTTATGACCACAAGACTTAGCTCTATTGTCGTGTCCTAAGCAAGCATCAGACAACCAGTATGAATAAAGGCGCGCGTATCCTCATGGCACTCACTTTAGTAAATAGGGCTAAAGGAAATCCCCAATCGTCTGTAGGGAACGGAGAAAATAGAGAATCATCGCCAACTAGGGGAGTCTCTGGAGAAGGGACGTAAATTGATTCGTCTAACTGTGGTGGCATGAGATCAGTAGACTGCAACTCAGAGGAATGAGGCGAGGGCGCACCTAACGAAGCCAAGCTCACAGACGAAGTTACCTTCTCCGAGATAGCCAATGAAGCTGAAATAGAAGGGAAAGTGGTATGACAAAGACGCGGTTGTTAACTCTATGAAAAACTCGACAATCACTCAGCGCCACATCTCGATGGGAGTGGCAACATAGAAGTTCAATCCTTTAACACCATACTCCTCTAGAAGAAGACAACTCCATCGAGAAATGTTGCAGAGCTTTGACCGAGCTTTACGAGATTGCTGCCAGCTTAAGCGATCAACTCTGTGTGCTGCTCGTACAATACCATCTACGTCATCATCGACAGCATGATATCAGTGTGCAGCTCTGATGCTTCGCTTCCGTATGATACAATGATACAATGTACGATACGATATCTCGCTATATACATATATATATATATATATATATATATATTAGCAATGTTGTGGAATGTAGGTAGCTCGGGTGCGCTGTTTGGTTGTTGGTCTGTTCGTCGAGCTTGGCAGTTGGATTGCAAACTTTTCATCANAGATGGCTCAGTGGTTATGGCTCGTACATGCTAACTGGAAGGTCCTTGGTAAGAAACCGAACCACTGCATCGCAACTGCTCCTGTCTAGGCGCAATCAATCAGCTGCCGTCTCCGAAGCGTAGCTATCTACCAAACCTCTTCAAATCATCGGTGATCGAAACCGTGGCAGCTAGAATCACTATATGGCGAGTACGCGCTTCTTGTAGCTGATAATGGCTTGAAACGGTGAGGCTGAGAGCCCAACCTAGAATGAATGTACAGGCCCCATCCGCTGAACCATCTCCAGGGGATGTTCGGCTCTCCAATGATAGAGCCGAAACCTGAGATGACGTAAAAACGAAGAGTGACCAATCACCGTGAGCATATGACATGATAACTTTTCGGTTACTTTTATTGGTGTTTGCCTAGGTGGCACGAAAATAACTTCTTCTTCTTCTTATTGACAGTTTGAAATAACTCAGTGGTTGAGACGCACGACTACAGACCGGAAGATTAGTGGGTGAAGTCTAAACCTAGCTTTTTGAGTATGATAACTCAAAGCAAAGCAACCTAGATCTAAATGGGCGAATTAGAAACCTACAAGTTGTTCACTTACGTTCTGAGGTAGGGTCGAATCCATGGTCTGCGGTTGAGCCAGACGGCAATTCGTCAACCTATCGAAGTAAACGAAAAAGAAAAAGTTTCGGTTTGGAAATGATTCTCTGCTAACGTTTGAATGCTGAACCAGTAGGATAAAAAACACCAGTGAGGAGTTCCTGTAGATTCTACACACAGGTGACAGCCAAAAAACGTGGTACTCTGTTAGCAATGAAAGTGTGCAGACACACGCCTGCACAGTAAATGCATCTAAAGATCCGCAACATGTAAGGGGTCAGGTAAGTTTGTCCGTCCTGTAACAATGGTGATGAATGATTTAAAATGAACAGTTCTTCAAGGTTATATCTCACACAATACAGTTTCCACACACTCAGTCTAGAAAAATCAATCAGAGAAAGTGGCAATCAATAAATCCGCTAAAAAGATGAGAATACATGAACGAAAAACTCTTCCAATCAATTTGCTCCCTCTAAGGGTCTTGAGTAAAGTGATGTATATGATGACTGGTGATGAGTAAAAATAGTAATAAAAAGTGGGGTAAGTGGCCGGTTCACATGGTAGGTTCCACATCTTTGTGAATACTGGTTGTCTCAGCCTGATCAGTATTTATTGGGATTTGTGTACCTGTCATCTTGTCAACTCGATAGTTGGAGAGCGAACATTTCATCGCTACGCGAGCCGCTAAATCCAGCGAAGAAACCGACAGTCAACATTGTCTCACTAACTGCGGGTGTGTCCCATTAAATCAAAATGACGGAGTGGGAACAATCCATGGCCAGGAACTCCCTCGTATTTGAAAATGCCCGACATAGTTCACTGGTTAAGGCGCGAACTTACTGACCGGAAAGTTCGAGGTTTGAACCACACGTAGTATCTCGACTGCTCCTGTCGAGGTTTGATCTACAGCCCTTGAACCTTTATCGGATTGAATGGCAGCTAGGTAATGGAAGAGTTTTTGAACGAATATTACTGTTATTATTACTATTATTATTATTATTATTAATACTATGCCGGGTTTTAAAGTTGTGTAGTCGTGTGAAGTGCTCAGGGCAACCATCCCCTACTAACGTAACTACACGAAATCCCATCCGTTATGTGGCACATTGAGACAGCAGATATTTCTGGGTCCGTGGACTGGAGTCCTAAGTAACCCATGTTGGGCGAGTATTTGGGTCCTTAACATTTTGATCTGTTACGGAACCGGCTTTCCATGTCGAGTCAAAACATTCGTCAACGATTGTGTCTGAAGACATGGAACCTGGAACGGTTTGTTTACCAAAATCTGAGAGAACAAACGTTAAAAAACTCACTTAAAAAGGACATACAAACCTTTGGAAATTGGTTGGGACAAACCACGCCGACAAGGTCTCACTCTTTCTCCCCTACAGTGGCGACTAAGGGGAAGATGTCATCACTTTATTGGTTAATACTGAGATGACTCGTTTATATATCTGTGAAGCAACATTTTCACAGGTGTTCGGAGGATTTAATACTTTCCAGCAGCTCAGACCGAAAGAGTGGGTTGACTAAAGGCATTATCCAAGGTTTTTATCCTTAACCTAAGGCACAAGGATGCAAGAAGGAAGCACGGAATCCAATGTCCACTGGGAGCCGGTGACCATGAACGTGGTTCATGGGCCCTTGAGATAGCCGAAAACCACCCGGGATAAGTGAGGCACGAGCCCCGGTGCTGGTTGGCGCCAAAATAGCTGAAGTAGCAAAGTGGCTTAAGGAAGCTGTTAAAACGTAAAAGTACCCATAACCCGACACACCGCTTTGGCGGTGAGGGTATTCGAAACCATGAGCACTGGAAGAGGCTAAACTGCGCCTGCAGGCACAGGGATGTACCGAAAAAGATGCGGTCAGTCCTCATCAGAAAATACCCAACCACCTAACTTGGAAAGGTCAGTTATACAGTTCATACATAGTTGGTTAAAGAAATCTAATTTATTCCGAGTTATCATAAACACATGAGGGGCGTGATGGCTCAAGTGTTCAGAGCGCGAATTTATTGACCAGAAGGTTTCTGGTTCGAACCCGACCTCTGCCTCTCGACTTCCCTGTCTAAGCGTGGGTAACTTGGCAATATCTCAGCCCCCATGCTTCCTTCGGGTGGCATGGCAGCTAGGCGCCGGAAGGATGTCACATCAGAACGATTTACCTTTTTATCTTGAAGATTAGTTGACAATCTCAGTTGAAATTAGCCCAGACTCGGTTCTTTTTCGACCAAAAGTTGTGGAGTTATTGACCGAAGGAATGGTGTTGGCAACTTGAGGATACCAATATTTAAACCAAGTGCATCTGCAAGCAGCAATTAGACAGAATTTTTTATCATCAGGCTCAAAGTGCGAAACGAGCCACATACATTCTCAACGATGCTATTCGACGGGTTCTGTACCCTTAAAGCACCAATCTATTCGTGTTCATCATCATCATCGACAGCATGACATCAGTGTTCAACACCGATGCTTCACTGCCGTACAACCATGACTTATTTGAAAGCCTTATTGTCAAGGGGAGAGTAAAGGGGGATGGGGGAGGGACTTAGTGCTAGCTTAACATAATCATCCCGAGGTGCCTACACCTCCAGACATTCACTCAGGCAATCTGGATAGAAACTGACAAGA